ATAGATTTTTTAAAAAAAAAGGGGGGGGGGGGGGGGGGAGCACTCGACTGAAAATCAAATATTAGTAACTTTCTGAATGAAATTTTGAAAAAATATATTGCTATTTAGTATTTAGTATGCAGAATCGAATTATGTATAATTTAATTTTCCCACTTCCATTTTTGAGTAACAAAAAAGAAATGTTTCATCTGCTTTCGAGCAGATGCTTGCAATACCGTTCCTTCAGCGATGCACGCGAAACTTTTATATCCCGTGTTCGAAAATGTCTCGAAGTCAATGGACAATGTTTTCAGTATTTACTTCATAATAAGTAAATTTATTACTTATTTTATCCTACATAAAGATCCGCGGTCTACCGATAAATTTTCAACAGATGAAAATAATTTAAAGAGCATCGATATCTTGACTGAGAATGATCAAGGATGTTTATTTAGCACCTGCGTGTTGCAGAAAGTTGATACTTTGCATGAACATCCGCTATTTAATGAATGAAGTTTGATTAGCTGTCATGCCGCGTGATTCCGCGTAAATAACCATCAATTTTTAAAGCCCGGCCATTATTTATACACGAGCACGTACGCGTTTTCTTGCGTCATCTCGCGCTAATCGCTCGAGCGAGACACTGCTAGGTTTATTAACAAGCTTAATTACCTTGATTGCAGGCCGCCGGACTCGATCTGAAGGAAAATCTCGGAGCCGGAGCTGCGGCGGCGTGGCCTTACCCATCTGTCTACCACCCCTACGACGCCGCTTTCGCCAGCTACCCCTTCAATGGGTGAGTTTCCAAAATATTTATTTTGTACTTGATGCAATTAACAGCTAACAGTCTTCCCGTTACAATGTTGCATTCATGGGAAATCGCTATTAAACGCGAAACGAGAAAGCAGGAAAGACTTTTCGAATATATTTTTTTGAAAATATTTATTTTGTACTCGATGCAATTAACAGCAAACAGCTCTTCCCGTTACAATGTTGCATTCATGGTAAATCGCTGTTAAACGCGAAACACGAAAGCAAGAAAGACTTTTCGAATATCAGTGTTGCAATTTGCATTCATAATCTGCGCAAGATTGATTGCACTTGTCTAACATGAAACGCATTTATTTCTATTCGAAATTTCCGTACGGGTTGGTTTAAACACTGAGTTGCTTGGGGAAAAATGTTCAACGATCCCTCTTGACGGACAGTGGGTTGTAAAATTTGCTTATCTATTGAAATTTATTTATTCAAATAACGGGTATAAACCCAATGCGACATACATAGATTGAAGAAAATTGACGGAATAAAGAACGTGCGTGACATGTGTCATTCAAATGGGGTTACAAGGCGGTTTTTAGCCTGTCGTTCTACAAAGTATAGACATTGCCACTAAAAAAGTCGATTTTATCGGTGATTGCACTAGCATAAATACAGATTCTGTTGACCGGATCGTAGAACCTACGGTCGGTTTTAAATTTAGCTACAGCGAATAATAGCATATAGTACGAGCATATAGTATACAGAGCGGCATTAAAGTTAACTAAATGAGGTAACGTTGGACAATCAATAACGTTAAGTAATTTTAAACACTTACTAATACCAAGTAATGTTAACCTTTTAGGCATGACGCGCCACTATAGTGGCTTCCGCGGATATCATCTTTTAGAACGACACGCCACTATAGTGGCTTTCGTAGATATCATCTCTCTGGACGACGCGCCACTATAGTGGTTTACTCTAGTAGCTCACTCGGTCATCGTTTGAACCAAATAATCGTCTTCATATGCATTGTTTCACACTTCTTTTGTCTTCGCATCGATTTACAACAGTCTACAGGGTGTCCCAAAAATGTCTCGCAATCCGGAAATGGCGGGTTCCTCGGATCATTTGAAGCAACTTCTTCCTTTATAAAAATGTTCTCCGAGGCACCGTTAACGAGTTATTAACGAAAAACAGTGACCAATAAGAATCGAGTACGGCTGACGCGAGGCGACCCAGCCAACCAGCGCGCGAAGTCCAGTTCCGCTCATTGGCTCGGTCGCCTCGCGCCAGCCGAGCTCGCCTCTCATTGGTCACTGTTTTTCGTTAATAACTAGTTAACGGTGCCTCGGAGAACATTTTTGTAAAGGAAAAAGTTGCTTCAAATGGCCTGAGAAACCCGCCACTTTCGGATTGCGAGACATTTTTGGGACACCCTGTATATACAGTATCAGACTCTGTACAGTACACATCAGACTCTGCCGTCCAGAGAAATAGCCTCGCGCAGAATTCAGCCGTACCAAAAAGGTTAAATAAAAAAAGTATGTCTGCAGTGATCCTCCTATTCTCCAATGTAGACAAATTTAGGAAACATAAAACCGTTCCTCCTTTTACCCCTGTGTGGAGTCAATGACCTGTCAAGTAAGCGATTTTTAACGGCAAATAGAGAAGTAACGCCATTTACCGTGATGACAAATGCGACACGGTGTTCGCTAATATAAGTACTCCAACGAATAAAACGTTTTATAAACTGAAGAGTAAGGTGGCTGAATATACTTCGCCGAAGAAATGTCCCGAAATATCAACTAATTGATAACGCTCTTACGAATGATGAAGAAAACAATTATTCAGAGCGTTTACGCAAATAGCCTTCGCACGAGTCTCAAGATCCTTGTTCTCTCAGTGGTTAAACGGCCGCAGGATGAACCTGTCCGTTAAGTGTCTTATTTGAAGGGGTTCAAGATAAGGAAATTGAATGTCGGGAATCAAACTAAACGGAAACACGAAATTAGTCGTTCACATTTCTGCGCGCGCGAAGAGATTATCGCAGTTGAATAACAAAGTTTTGGTTCTAGTTCGATATAGTGTGTTCAGTTTGTCTGCGCGCTATATTTCTGGAAACGCTCAAGAAGTTGTTCAGATGAATCTTTTTATTTAACGAAGGCTGTGACGTCAATCAGTGTCCAGATTGTGCAGCACGAAGTCATTAGAATAGATACAATCTGTGGATTTTCATTAACGTTGCATTCTGTATGCATTATCCGGATTCGAAGGAACTGTGCTACGAAGATCATTTGAGCCGTTTTATTTTGAAAGTGGCATGAGTCACTTTACCGTAATGAAAAGTGGTGATTTTTTAATGTTTATACTACTAATAATTATTAATTGTTATAATAAATATTAATTATTTATTATATTATATATAATTATTATTTAATTAATTAATATTATTATTTATTATTATTACTATTATTAATTATTATTAATTATATATTATATATATTATATATAATAATTATTAATTATTATTAAATATTAATAATAATATACTAATATATTATTTATACTGAGAAAAATATCTCTCCCAGTATCTTGAGATAACAGATACAAGTAAATCTTCTCGAAAGTTAGCATCCATATTTTTAAACGTGTTAAAACGCAAACCCTTAAATATATCGACTTAAAAACGAAGTGACTTATGCCACTTTCAAAATAAACGGCTCATTTAAGCTATGGAGTTAGCGTGTTCGATGTGAACGCTTCTGTGAACGTTTTTGTGAACGTTCGACGACTCTCACGTGGCTGCTTCTGGAGTAGTATGAAATTTGTACTTTTTTTCGTTATCGAATTTACGGTCGTTGCTATTGCGAATTTCATTTCATACCGTGCTTTAGTAGTAGTTCGATTCACTGCTGAATTACTATAATAATGATTCCAGATCAGTGACTCGAATATTCTGTCTGTTGCACTGAAAGCAAAATTTTTATAAAAACGAAACGTTAAAAATACTTATAAAAATTATTTTACGACTTTCAATCATCGTACGCAATGTTTATAATCAAATCATTTTCGTACAAATGTGTTCATTGAAATCGCATTCGGTTTGCCTTACGCGGTCGAATTAAATCGATTCGTTCAAATAATTTGAAGCATTCGATACCTTTGCAATTACAAAACACGAAATTCCGTTTCCCAAGCTGATATTATAATGTACAGCTGATACAATGAAAAGACATCGACGTGAACATTGAAGTCCGATATAAGTACATAAACTCTGCAATCCAGCTATAAAATGTTTTCCCCGCTAGTTTCGAATTATCGCTCGAGCACGTGCACAGAATCTCTTTTGTTTTCTTTGTGCAGCAAAACACACAGGAGGTCTTTGCAAAATGTTGCTTGTAATTTTAACATATTTTACAATGACGGAGAAACAATGACTTGTGTCTTAAAAACGTAATCTGCGCACGCCGAAGTGTTTAAAAAGACGAGTGAAATAAATGATAAGGTTACTACAAATTAATCGGACTCTACATTATCATTAACAATGAAATAACACTCCTTGTTTCTCACAACAAGGTAAATGTGACTCTTGCGCCACTGTGATTTTAACCCTTTGAACTCGAGTGGCGACTGTAAGGCGCCATTGAAAATTGTTATTATCATGTTTCGAAGTAATTTTAACATCAAATTTGTTTGTATTAGAAAAACTGTAAAATGTGTAGTTGTTGCATGCGTCAAAAAGTTCAATTTCATACGTATAAGATGCACTGGGTTCTATAAAATGGAAATGCTACAGGTTGGAAAAAATATTTCGAATTTCGAGTTGAAATGCCTCCGACCACTAAAGGTTAATCCGTGTAATTGTCTCGATCAAACCGTGGCTCGTATACTGTATAGACTCCATAGGGAGCTCTTTTCAAAGCACAAAATCGTATCTCAGAATGACAGTGCAAAGAAGTTACTCCGCACTCGAGAAATTCGCCTTCCAAGAGAGCGCGTTTAGGCTTTTATCCAAAATTTTCCGTGTAGTTCGAACAGCTTTCGAGACGACGAAGCGTATACAAATACACCAGACACCGCGTGTATGTGCTGTACGGTGAAGATCCGTTCGTGGCCGATGTGGCCGCGCACACGGCCAGATAACGAGCGAGAGAAACACATAAACATTCTAATAAATTAGCGCTCCGCTGACCCGGGACTGTCGCCTTGGGCGTTTTTATTCTCGCGTTTAGCGTCGGAATCGGTCAACGCGTGTCACGATGCGACCGGTGAAAGGTCTCGCCGGTCTCGATAAATCGACGCGGCGGGGCCGCATATATGGTACTATAATATCGGCCGAGATTAGAGGAATTCGGCCGCACGGATCGAAGGTGGCAAGCGTCTCGCCTCTCGATAATTAGCCCTATCTGCGTTTCCGGCCCGCTTTTCAATTTCACCCTAAGCTCTCTCCTCTTTTTCTCACCATCTTTCGTCTGTTATCGGGGTGACGCTTCTATTCACGCCGGCCCAGCAACCGAATACGACTTGTTAACACGTCTGACACAACCGGAAAAATTCCTCCGCTGACGCAGTAATTCGTTTAATCTTGGAGAAACTGAATACTTGAGATTCATGGTGGCAGAACAACGCGCAACCGTGTAATAAGATTTAGCGGATTATTAGTATTTAATTTCGCTGATTTCATTAGCAGGAGAGAAATGATTTAAATTGTTGAAAAATTGTGTCTGGCTAATTTAATCGTATCTCGTGGATTGCAGTGAAATATCGTCGATTCGTTGCATCTGTGCAAAAATGAATTTTCAAGTTCGATAAACATGTGTTATCTACGAAGTCGAAAATAAAATTGTCTCTCCGTCTTCATATCGTTGCGCTTCGTGTCAACGAATGTCCAACCGATGTACAAAATCCGCGATCTATTAATAAATTTGTACTTCATTATGCAAGAGTCTCGAGTGTCGTCTCAAACATAGCACAAACTTGTTGCTTATTCCTTCCATAGTTTCATAATCGCTTCTAATTTATCCGATTATATTGAAT